GTCAGAGACGCAGCAGAGAGCGACAGACACGTGTGGATACACACTGCACAGGAATAGACGCAGTTGCAGAAAGCGAGCGGTGGCAGGGTGTGACCAGCAGCAGGACGGAGGCTCCTGAGTTCTCCTGCTGCAGATGAGGTGTCTGGCAGGGGAATTGTCCACTTCTCTCAGAGCTATTACCTCTGATTACTTTTGATTTCTTGTTGATTCTTCCTTCAAGTCCTTCTCACAACACAGTTACTTCTCCGTCCTGGTAAGTTTGTGTCCTTGGTGGTGAAATGACAACATGTACAACAACTATTCCTCTCAACTTGAGGTTTGTGAGACTGAGTCGAGTGCTATGTTGACAAAGCTGTAATTTGATGGCATCCAAAACAGGAGCCAACTTAATGTTTAAGGATTTGTCAGGAAGCTTTAACCGGAGCCTCAGGATTACAGAGCTAATGACAAATGGGAGGCACGTTGCATTTTTACCACCAAGTAGCAACAGAATCAGCAACTTTTAAGTATCGTGATAAGAAACGGCTCCAAAAAACTTCGAAAAGGATCAAGTCCAACAATGTTTTCAATTTCATGAAGTACTTTGATCCAGCTCCCTCCAGAAAAGCAGACGGCTCGTTTATAAGACTACACAGAGAATAATTTAGCGAGGGGGTCTGATGTGCTTCGACAAGGAAAGGCACTGAAATAACAATGATCCAAGACGCTGAATCAAACTGGATACATACGTGTAATGTAGTAAAAGAGAATAACATGGCCGAGAGAAAGAACATCATGAGGAACACACTGCGCCAAACATCTGAGGTGGGCGTCAAACCTGTTTACCAAGGAAGACAAAATCAATGCTCTACCCACTGCGCCAAGACCTGCTTCTCACTATGGGCAGAAGCATCATCATCATCATCATCAGCAGCAGCAGCAGCGAGTTGAGGACAGTTCAGTAAACCTGAGATCTGTGTTGTGAAACTTTTGACGAGCAGCGTCCTCCAGCAGAATAACATGTGTGTCTGTGTAAACTCTGATTGCCATGTTTCAGTTATGTAAACAGAGCACAGGATGGAGGTTTGCAGCGCAACATGTGGAGCTTATGTTAAATCTGTATCCTTATGCACAGTCACAACTTTAAATGACCATAAATGCCCTAAATGTTAATATATAAACAGACTCTGACTAGATGTAAACTTGGTCTCTCTGCAGACAGGGGGAGACTGGCTGTGGATCAGCAGAGGGTGGCATGTGTGTGTTGTCAAGTGTTGAGGAATGTTCATGCAGCGATTCTTCTACGGTGTCGGAAACAAAGCCAACTGTCATCACATTGACATCACATGTGAGTTCAAGTCTTCATCACATAACCTGAACCAACAGCTGTTCTCAGATCTGTGGCCTGAGCACTGACAGAACAGGATTATAACGTCACCTCCAAGCGACAGGATGCACGAGCGTTTTTCACTTTCACCGACAACACTCTTCCGTTCATGTCACATCTGTTTCACTGTGGAAACTTTGAGCGAACGACTTTCAAACTTTCTCCTCCATGAAGTGAAACACGTTTGGTCCACGTCAGAGGGAAATAAAAACAATATCATCTTTGTAAAAGTACCACGGCTTTCTCACTTTGATTCTTTTATTATTAATCTCAACATTTTGATGTAATCAAAATGGAAAACTTATAAATAACCTGGAACTAGGGACAAATCTATAAAACGAGATTCATGTCAAACACTAAAACTTTGAATAAGCAGAGCTGACATCTTCTAATCATCCACATGTATCCTGGACTTCCGCTGTTTCCCCCACATCCAAACTTTGATATCAAAACTGCGTCTATTATCGGACACTCTAGTGACCAGCACCCGCATGTGACCTGAGGAAATATGCGTTTACGGGCGCGTTTTTTGCGGCAGGGGGGAAAAACAAGTGAGCGCATCCACAACAAGTTCAAAGTGTCTGAGGGTTCGAGTCCGAACCACAACACCGCCCCATTATCTTTTCAAACATCAGACAGATCTGAACCGAATAAAGTTTCTGAAGCTTTGAGATCAAAAGGATCAAAGCCAGTGAGGGTGCTGTCCGATAATGGGTGCCGATGTGCTAGCTTGTCCTTTACACTTCACACGCTGCGCTTTTCTTAAACAAGCCGAGTTACCTGGTGGGCGGGATGTTTCCGTTACTTTCCCTGTAGCTTTCCTCCGTTTCCCCGGTCGACCCGGTGTCGTCGTCCTCCACGACAACGTCCGCTCCGGTGCCGGGGCCGGGGCCGCCTACGCTCTCCAAGCCGCGCTCCATGACACCATCCTCCGCCGGGGTCGAGCCCGCGCTCCGGGCGGCGGACCGCGGCTCCCAGTGGACGGCGGAGCCCAGGGCCGGCGGAGGGGAGCCGCCGAGCGGGAGGAGCGGAGTGAGGAGCAGCAGGAGCAGGAGCAGGAGCTGAAACGGCGGGGAGGTGCTCACGTTTCCAGAGTGAAGCCCCCTTTCCATTTGTAAGACTGGCACATCAGTGAAGGAGGAGTCACATGCCAGAGGCCCGGAGAAGAGTTCCGCTTACACAGGGCCGGAGCTGGAGGAGCTGGAGGAGCAGCGCGGCGGCCATGAAGTCAACATGTCGGTAAACATCAACAGCCGCTGGGACTCCATGTTGCTCCTTTATACCTCACGCCACCTGCCTTGGTAACGCGACGCCCCGCCTTTGTTTCTGCGCCGCGATTGGACGGTGAAACTCCGGTCGCCGCCTCTCGTTGGCTCGCTCGGCTGTCACTCACGCTCACACTGGCACACTAAGCAGGCGACGATTGCGTCAGAGCGCTGTCACTCAGGGAGGCGGGTTCGCGGAAGCTCCCGCCTCCCACAAGCTCCGCACGCCATTGGTCAGTCGGCTGGCTGTCGAGGCGACGCATGCGCACTGGAGAGTGCCACACAGCACGAGCCCGCCCCTCTCCGAGGAGGACGTGTGATTGGTGGAAGGGGGGGTGTCCTCCTCCGTCCAATAGGAGAGCCGAGCTCACCGGGCTGCGCCGCGATTGGTCGAGTTGTTCCCGCCCCCCGGTTAACTCGTAAGCGCAGGATTCGATAGTTGAGCTGTCAATCACAAGTAGTTGTCAAGACAAGCCGACATGAAACGACCAACGTGGCTGAAGAGAAACTTCCTGTTCCTGGTCACGAGACGTGGTTTTACTCTGATGTCAACAAAGATTCTTCCGAAACTTTTACTTCACAGGTTGAAGCAGAAAATTCAAACATTCACACGATCCACGATGTTTAAAACCAACTTTATTGTCCAGAACACAGACCTCAGAGTTAACATACAAGTACTCAGAACACACAAGTACACAGAACATACAAGTACTCAGAACACAGTACATTACGTCTCTTGTAATCAATGTAAGTATTATTCTGTTGTAGTACTTCAGTCTGTCCTGAGAGACGATGGACACGTGACTCTCTGAAGTCTGAATGTTTTCTTCTTCTGCTGATAAACTTTGTATTCTGGTAGTTTCCCTCTCGTGTTGAACTTTGTTAAGATCGATGACACAAACTGGGATTCGTGAATCTGAGCTTTGCGAACAAAACGTGACCGACTGATGGACAAACAACAACAAATGTTTTGAGCGTCATCGACCTTTGAACTCGCAACCTCACGCTGAGGAGCTTCCTGTCAGGTGACGTCACCTCACTGATGATGTAACCTCTGCAGGGCTGCACACTTCACCGCTGCAGGAGATTCACTGATCAAGATTAAATACTTTCTGTTCCTCCACACCGTGAAGAGATGTCTGTGATTTATTTACACAGAGTTTGATTCCTCCATGACTGAATGTTTAAAGTTTTTTAAACCGACTAAAATATGTGATGATGAAACATTTCAACACCTTTCAAAAGTTCTGACATGAAGATAAAACTCTGAAACTTGTCACATCTATGAAGACATGAGAAGTTTGTGAACATTGAGGATTGATTTAGATCATTTATCTGTTTACAGTCAAAACATTTTTGATGTAAACTCAATTTTTAATCAATTCAAAATCTGTCTGGATAATTTGTGGAGAACAGTCTGGAGACGCTGTGTCACAAGTTTGAAGTCATTTAATCTAATTCTGTGGGAGGAGATGGTTTAATTAGTTTGACAGTTTTTTGAGAAAAACAGAGAATTGGAGTTCAAAGTTTATGAAAGTTTCTGCTCGATTGGGCACTTACACTTGATTTGAATTTTCAAAGTTTTAAGCTGTAGACGGTTGTTGTAGCGCCACCATCAGGACTTTGGGCACAGGACTGGACCTATGTGCCAGGTGTGGTTTATTTGTATGCATGAGAAGGTGGATTTCCTCAGAAGAACAATAACAAGAATAAAAAATTATTATAACAATAATAAAGTTTTTTTTCCATCCGCATAAACATGTTCATCAGTAATGTTTTTATAAATATAAATCTTAAATGTCTCTTTAAACATAAAGATATTTACTCGGAGCTTTTACAATAAACTTCAGGAAGATTTGAGTTGGAACATGACGTCACTGAGGAGCCACATTCACGCGCTGGCATGAGGAACTGAGCTGGTTGTATTTATAGCGCCTCCAGGCGGACATAACGGAGAACGACACAATCCATGTTTACATTCAGGTGTTGTTTGGAAAATAAGATGAGATCAAATTGCTTGTGTAAAATTAACAAAAACAGTCAAGTGGAATATATTCTGATGTATTTAATTATAATCTGCTCGTTAAGTTTTCAACTGTGTCTGTTTCTTTATTATTACAAAGAAACAACTGAAGTGATTTAAGAGGCAGATCCGGATCCAGGAATTTATTTTCATTTTCTTGAACACTGTCAGACAGTTGGTCTTTAAATAACAGGTAAATAGAGAATCACCTGTTTTACAGAGCTCGTGTTCATATGTAGAACTATTGTTTAACTATTACTGAGGATATTCAGTTTTCTACCAGTGTGATCGGAACTTCAGTTTATGAACAAGTGAAGAGAATGAATCATCAGAAATAAAACAAGGAGTCGTTTTGGTCTTGTATTGTTTGGCAAAAAATAATTGTACCTTCACAGCAAAAATCATTATCACAGTCATTTGGTAAAGAAAATAAGAAGAGAAATGCTGGTGCAGAAATATCCATCGTGGTGCCGACTCTGAACTCAACACATTCTCACTTCAGGTCAATTTCAGTCAAAGTCCTAAAATTCAGCCACTTAACGACAGAATCACGAGAAGAACAGGATCAGAAGCTTCGTACCTAATAACTCTGAACTAACGTGCAGGACAACTGTACATTCTGACTTTGATAAGTTCCACAGACGCCATGTTCTCCTGAGTGTCTCACAGCCGTTCATACAAAAACATAAAACCAGAGAAAGGCACCGTGAGCCAAAAGCAAAGAGAAGAGGTCAACTGTGGCTGTGGACGGTAAAGTATCAGGTGAACTGGCTGCACAGTGAGTTTTATTTTATCTCCCTCTTTAAACTTGCTCTATTCGGTTTTAAGATTTATAATAAAACTTGAAATAAGTACAGTGCTTCTTTGTGGAGCTGGAAACAAATGAAACCTTCATGTTTGTGTCCTTCTTGAATCATTCATGTATCAAACGTCTTTTATAAAAACTGAACAATGCAGCTCCTACACATGTCGGTTGATATTTTATCTACACAGTTCATTATTAAACATGAAACATTCACAGCCCGACTGCAGATCGTCACTGACTGTGTGAGGAAGAAGAGAAGTCATGCATGTGGATCACAGGCTGAGAAGAAGGAGCACAGTGGAGGGACGTACATGCAGGAACATAAACACATTCAGGTCTTTGTTTCAGACACTGTGGACTTCAGTCCTCATCAGCCCACTGGTGATGAAACTGACAGGAAACCACAGATTTTCTCAAACTCTGTCTTTACTCAGAGCAGGAAACCGAATCACTGGTGCAGTGCGGCTGTAACTGTTGCACACCAACTATAATCACACAAGGAATGAGAAATAACAAGTGTGAACAATGAAACGAGGGATTTCTTTTCTCCCACCGAGGACATCTCTTTTTATGAATTAAGAGACAAATAATAACTTGTCTGTTATAAACCACTTCAGGGTCTATCAGACTTTCTTCTGGAGCTTTCACTGGACTGCTGGTTTGATGAACGAGGTTTTCTATGAGCTGATCAGATGAAACTTTAATGGCGTCACTGCTGTTGTAATCTCAAGGCACACTTTATTCTGCAGCAGTGACTCAGCACACTGGTTGAGAACCACAGCGCTGCAGGCTAATTACAGGCCGAGCCAGGAACCAGAGGGCTGAGCTGAGCAGAGACTGGAAAAAGAAACGTTCGGTATTTTTCATTTTACACATCAGGCACTTTTAAAACTCACAGAATCAGAAGCACCACGTGCACGATGAGAAAAAAAATCAGGTGATGATGAATTTGTCGGGTTGTGAGATGTGATGATGTGAAGGTGCAGCCCCGCCCCTCAAACTTGTCGCATAAAAAAAAAAACGGTGGAGACGAGGGACGACAGTGAAGGCTGCGAACTCCTCAGTTGACGGGAGCATCGCGAACCTGCACGCTTCCATCCTCCATCCCAAAGTAGGCTCGCTCAGCCATGCCGACGAACAGGCCCGTCTCCACCACGCCTGAGGACGACACACGACAAACACTTTTTATAGAACAGCATTGGGAACACTCGCGTTTTTTTAAAACCGACTGCCGCTTCAGTAAGACACGGAACAAAGACGTGTCCTGAAGTCTTCCTCTGCGAACGTCCTTCATCACCTCAACTCTACAAACGCTGTCGTCCGTGAGCGTCTCACCTGGAATCATCTTGATCGCAGTGTTGACCTCCTTCCAGTTCTGGGCGCGTTCGAACTTCCAGTCCAGGATGAAGTTAGAGTTGTCGGTGACCACGGGACCCTGAGAGTCACACAGACACACAGTCGGTCGTTGGTGCACCACTGACGACCAAATACAACGTGTCACGAGAACGAGCGTCCGTAAAAAGCAAATACTGCATAAAAATCAATGAAACGCTGATTTAAAGGTCGTTGAGCTGCTTAACAAGGTGGACGTTAGGTTTCAGTGTCACCATGAAGAGTTATCACCACTTATTTATCTCGACCTGGAGCTCAGGGGCAAAATCTGGAGTTCACCCAGGAGCAGCGAAAAGAAAAGCCTTGAGTAAAACAAGTTGTGAAATTGTTGCTGCAACTTAAAAAGAGAGAGAGCTGCCACGAAGCAGGCAAAATAAGAGAAGTGGTGCAAACACAAGTCGAGCCAATCGTCCACTTACTGCTTTGCTGACGGCCATCCGCAGCTTGGCCTCCCCTCCGAAGCATCTGGCTATCGTCCTGGAGACGGGGACGTACGCCATGGGGATCACTTCAACAGGAACTCCCTTTTTCCACTGTTGGCCCAAAGCCTCGGAGTCTTTCCTGAGCGGAGAGAGAGAAAACAAACAAGACGTGAATCTCAAACACGCACCAACAAACTAGTTATGACCCTCGTGTACGTGCAGATTAAACAAGAGACCCGAACTTGAGATGATGTTCGACCAGAACGTTGTTAGTTCTGGATCCGAAACTTTCTTTCACATGTCACAAAAATATCAGAAGTTTGGGGGAAAAAAACGTGAAACCAGATTCTTGAAGTCACAGAAAATGTTCTCATTACTTCCTGTGACTGTAAAAACCCGGAGGCAGATTTTAATCACACAAACAAACCTTTGATCATTTTCTTTGTTCAATGCTGGAAAAGTAAAACACACAGTTATTGATCTGCTTCTCCGAGGCTTCGCTGATTCCGTCTCATGCAACACGTCTCCTGAACGAGCCCGAGAACAGCAGCTGCTCAACCAGCTGATTTAAAAAAATCTTAAATTACAAACTACAAAATGTCGTCGCATGTTCTCGTATGTTCACGCTTCTCAGCTGCGTCGTGTTTAATAAGATCCTGTTCTGGTGTCAGAGGGTTGAACACGGAGGGAGGCGTTCGGTGTGTCGCGTGGGCGGGGCTTCAGGTAAATGAGAAAACACAAACCTGTAGTCGGCGATGACAACGAAATGTTTCGCACAGCCGGCGACGATCTTCTCCTGAGTCAGGCAGCCGCTGTGAGACAGAGACAGAAGCTGTGAGACAGAGACAGAGGCTGTGAGACAGAAGCTGTGAGACAGAGACAGAGGCTGTGAGACAGAAGCTGTGAGACAGAGACAGAGGCTGTGAGACAGAAGCTGTGAGACAGAAGCTGTGAGACAGAAGCTATGAGACAGAAGCTATGAGACAGAGAAAGAGGCTGTGAGACAAGAAGCTGTGAGACAAGAAGCTGTGAGACAGAA